TGAGTTGCTGATCTTCACCGCATTGGAGCCACTGAAGCCACGAAAATTGAGACTCTGCAAAAGCATTGTCACTTGAGTTGCGTCACCGATACTGATCAGGCGGTTGCTGGATTTTATTCTTGTACATTTAACCTTTGCGCTCTTCTTTTGCTTGGAAAAAAACTCTACACGAGTGGTAAGTGCCCTTTGTTTATTACCAGAACAAATCTTAACCTTTTATTTACTAAAGAGTACTTACAGCTTTACTACAGCAGAAAATGTCATCGTCCGAAACATCAGCCGCTGTTGCCATTGGCATTGACCTGGGCACCACCTACTCTTGCGTGAGCGTCTTTCAGCACGGAAAGGTGGAGATCATCGCCAACGATCACGGAAACCGCGTGACGCCGTCAATCGTCGCCTTTACCGACACTGAACGACTGATCGGCGACGCCGCCAAGAACCAGGCGGCAATGAACCCGAGCAACACTGTCTTTGACGCCAAACGCCTCATCGGTCGACCCTTCAAGGACCCGCTCGTGCAGGCAGACATGAAGAACTGGCCCTTTGAGGTGGTGGACGATGGCCAGGGAAAGCCGGTGATCAAAGTGGAGTACAAAGGAAAGACGAAACGTTTCATTCCGGAGGAGATCTCTTCGATGGTGTTGACCAAAATGAAGGAAACCGCCGAGGCGTACCTGGGAACCACTGTCTCCAATGCAGTCATCACTGTTCCAGCTTTCTTCAGCATGGCTCAACGTCAGGCGACAAAAGACGCCGGCACCATTGCCGGTCTCAAAGTGCTGCGCATCATCAGCGAGCCAGTTTCCGCCGCCCTTGCCTACGGTCTCAACAAGAGCAGCAACACTGAAAGCCATGTGCTTGTTTTTGACCTGGGCGGTGGCACTTTTGATGTCTCCGTTCTCAAACTGGAGAAGGGCGTCTTTGAGGTGAAATCCACCGCCGGCGACACTCATCTGGGCGGCGAAGATTTTGACAACCGTCTGGTGGACCACTTTGTGGCGGAGTTTAAGCGCCAGCACAAACGGGACATCTCCACCAACAAGCGAGCTTTGCGCCGACTGCGAACTGCCTGCGAGCGAGCCAAACGAGTGCTCTCCACCGCCATGCAAACTTCCATTGAAATTGATTCCTTTTATGAAGGCATCGACTTTAGCGCCGTCTTCACTCGTGCTCACCTTGAGGAGCTGTGCTCTGATCTCTTTCTCTCCACACTGGGGCCGGTGGAGAGGGCTCTGAATGATGCAAAGCTCACCAAAAGTCAAATCGATGAGGTGGTCCTGGTTGGCGGCTCGACGCGCATTCCCAAAGTGCAGGCTCTGATGCAGAACTTCTTCAATGGTAAGCAGCTGAATAAGTCAGTCAACGCGGATGAAGCCGTTGCCTATGGTGCAGCAGTGCAAGCGGCCATGATTAGCGGCCATTCCTCTTTGCCTATGCTTAAAGACGTCCGCCTAATTAGCGTCACCCCTCTTTCACTTGGAGTTGGGGTTGTGAGCGGCGCCGTGTCGACAGTGATCGAACGCAACACTGCCATTCCTGCACGAAAAACAGCAAGTTTCCAAACTCCATATGATTACGAGACTTCAATTCTATTTGACGTGTACGAAGGAGAACGAATGATGAAGAAAGACAACAACTACCTTGATGGGTTTAAACTCACGGGCATTCCATCAGCCTTGCAAGGAGTTCAACAGATTGAAGTCACCTTTGAAATTGACGACAATGGCATTCTGGCGATCACTGCACAGGAAAAAAGCACTGGCAAAAAGAATGGCATCACCATTCAAAGCGACAAGTGGCGTCTGTCCAAAGATAAGATTGCGCTCTTTGTCGAGGAGGCTAAGAAGTACCGACTTGAGGATGACCGCCATCGGGAGAGAGTCAAAGTGTTCAACGCATTTTTGGATTACGCCCATCAGATGAAGCATACACTGGCGGCTGAAAACTGGCAGAAGGTGGCAGAA